AATGCAATAAAATTTATTGCTTTTTATAGCCTTGTTTTTTTAACATTCTGATTATGTGAGCTATTATTATGTGCTTTAATAAAATATTAATATAGATGGAGAGATAGAACAATAGTGACTGAGTTTCTTGCGCTGCTTCTTCTCAGCACTGGCCCATTTATTGTCCCGAAGCAGTGGTAGGGTTAATATTGGGACGTGTAAAAATGCTTTTTAAAAGCCTATTTGCAAAAATAAATGAGTTTTTAGAGTTTTTTATAGATGATCCTTGTTTGAATCGTGAAAATTATTTTGCTAGGCGACATCTGTTTGCAGGTTCGTATCAAATTAGTACCACGAACTTTTATACACGGAGTCATAGACATTATCCATAAGTATGTTTATCCAAACCCCATTGTACAAGCTTAATTTGGAGCTGCATAATTAGTGTCATAATTAGAACAATTTATTATTATTTGTATAACAAGATCCTATTCTGAAACTTACAAAACAAAATCTTGTAAGAATAGTAAAATTCGCAACATAAAAAATAAGCTCTCACGTTAACCTACTTGCCTAATACGAGTTAGTTCGTGCCCATGTAGGTTTCAAAACTGCCTGAAGCTCTTTAAAAGTCAAATCTATCTCACGGGCTAGCTTATCCATCAAGATTCTCTTACAGATCTACAAAAACCAATAAACATGCTAGCTCACATTTAGGACTCAAGCGCAAATTGAGTCTAGACCAAGGGCCTTAAGAAAATAGATTTCTTTAGCGATAGAAAAGCGCCTGAAACTTATGAATCAAATTGGTTTAAATCTATGAAAAAACACGGACCTTCCGTGTTAGGTATACCTATAAGGTGATACAAGCATATTTAGCTTAGTACGAGGGGCTAACGGGACCATGTAATTAATTTGTGTAATATTTATCTTTAAAAAAAATACTCGAAAACTCAATATAAACTCAATTAAGTATTCATAATTTAAAAAGTATGTGAACCTCAATATTTACCTACACCAATCATAGACATAAAACTGGTCTTGAGTTTAGATTATGATTCAGAGTCGTTTCTTGATACGATCCTGAAACATTTTGTATTCACGGTTACAATTTCCAGTTAACCTTTAGCTACTGAGGTGGATTTAATTTCACGTAAACACTGACGTGGGGGCCTGAGAGGCCCGTACATATGTGTGCTTATATTTAAAAATTATAATCTTTTTATGGTTTTATGTTTAATAATTATTAATAGTGGTTATATTTAAATACAATAAAACGATTTTTATGTAAATTATTTGTTTATAAGTACGTATTATTTCAATATTTAGAAAACATGTAGAATTTTTGGCAAAAATCTCATGAAATCATCATTCACAAAGTTATCATAAAAAATATTCATAAATTCAACAAATCAACTTAGAATCTTAATTTTCAATAGTCTTTTTAGCTAATGATAAATCAGTAATCCTAATATGAAATAGGGGGAAAAAAATTACACACATCAAATAGTGCGAATTAAACACAGTCTGGATAAACTTGCTTTGTTCAGTGAAGGAAGCCATACATGTTCTTAAAATGTAGATTTAATTTGAATCTTCAAAATACATGTATGGCACTTGGTTTCATCGTTTAAATCTTGATAGACAGGTACAGGCTTATCATTTCCTAGCATACATGCCAAAAACTACTGTTCTACTATTTTTCGTTAAATGCTGGTTATTTTTACTTCAGAGATACTGCTTTCTCTCGGACGACGTACTGTGGGCTCCATATAATAGATTTTTTCAAATTATTTCAAGAAAAGACGACAACTAAATGAAAACTATAGACAAAAAAAGTTACGCCAATACTGAGGTGGGGGCCTGAGAGGCCCACAAGAAACTTTAAAATTAATTTACCTACTGAAATTGCGCGTGCAATCACGTGCACCGTTGTTGACAGCCTCGGCGCAATGAAACTCGAAGGTACTAAAAGATTCGGGTATGTTGTGCACGTGGGAGAGGAGAAATTTAACAATTTGACTTTTGCAAGGCCTGAGAGGCCCCCACGTCAGTAGTTAAAGGTTTCAATTCAGTATCTATGGGACTCTGTTCGCGACATCATAGTTTTTTTTATAATTAATCTAAATACAACCCCTCCTTCTAAACAAACACTATCCAGATTTTAAATACTTAATAATTATGGAAACAATGCATAATTTTAGTTTTATTGTCAACAAAACAAATAAATCCTTTTTTATTAAAAGCTTCTCTCTCCATTGTGATAGAAACATACCGTGATATTTAATTTTCTCAGTTGACCTCCAGATTACCCATCAGAATGATGACCCGATAAATGCCAAGTAACTTAACAATGACCTGTGTCTAATCTTTAAGTTTAGTTAACTGACAGCTACCAAAATAGTTTTATCATTTGTAGCATCTGTAAATACAGAATGATAATTTATTTAAAAGTTACTTGATCGAGTAGTTTTTGTACTGTATTTATATTAAATGAATTTTTTATAATATCTTTAAATGGCAGTTTTAGAATACTTAATCATGACTAATATGTATTATAATTGATTGCTTGTTTGTATTGAATAGGTACCGAAACTACTGGACCAATTCGAAAAAATATTTCACCATTAGAATCCTATATAATTTCTGATGAAAATAGGTTTCACGAAATTTGCCAAGGCAGCTTGTTTTTAATATGACTGTTAAAAAATTGTAATTGAAAATACATTCAGAAAAATCCTTAAATCGTAGTTCCTATCATTAGGTACTCTAAGCTTGCATAAGCAATAACTATCCGCTCATCGACCCTTCACACCTTTCAAAAGGGCGTCACAACTATCACTTAAAAGCGATATTGAATATCGTTTCTATATAGTTTCCTTAGAAATCATCCAAATATTACGCCATGCTTTGCAAACGCTTGTTTACTTACACATTCGCATCTTGACACTATTGTGCTGAATATTGCGTACATTTTATCACCTTTGAGCATTGGACACAGTTGTGAAAGCATTGAACAAAAAGTGACCTTTTCATGACTGATTGAGATATTGTCATAATGGACATCTATTTCAGGTGTTATAATGAGACTAGTTTTTGCCAGCGGCTTTGTCTGCTATATTTTCAACAGAAAGTTGATATAACTTTAATTTTCTTAACTCGAAGAAACAGTACCTCTAGTAGGAAAAACTTTCGAGTTCGTTTCGTTGCGTATTCAAAGTGTCATCGAAAAATTTTGTATGAAAAATTAAACAGCCCCCCTATATTATAGCCGCCCTAGGGGGCGCTGTTTAATTTTTCATACAAAATTTTTCGATGACACTTTGAATACGCAACGAAATGAACTCGAAAGTTTTTCCTACTAGAGGTACTGAAACTAAAAGTGAACTGAAAGAAATACGTGAATATGAAAATACAAACATTCTTCCCCATAAAGGTGCCATTCCTTTTTTTGGCTGAAAAGTATCCTTGTTCTTTTAGTAACTTTAATGTGGTATCTACCAAAATTAATCAAATTGTTTCAGCACTTTTAACCTGACAATGTAAAGACTTATTTTTGCAACTGTAATATTGGCAGTACATGATGTTGAATTTGTATGAGACAAGTGACCTTTAGGCAAAAGATAATTATATCATTAGAAGTTGTAATGTCCGATGAGTTGTATGATCAATAGGGATGTCTTATTATATCGATTGAATAGCTTAATATTTCATCAACATCATAATGTATTTCAGTCTAACATCTGACTAATATTATCATACATTTTTATTGCAAAATTGCAGTTATGACAACTCTACATATGACTGCACGTTGTTAAGTTTGATGTGTGTATGAATTTTGAACTGATCTAAACTAATATTTAGGTATAGGTAGAGTCATCAAAGTTCGTTAAACCCAAAGTAGTCAAAAAGTTCGCAACATATCTTTGTTACAATTTGAAATGTGACTGTAAACTTTTGCCCAATTTGGGTGTCACAAACTATTTGACTTTACACAGCTTTCAGAGAATCTCTCGCTCTCTTTTTTGAATGGACTAACTTGAATAATACTTTACACTAGCGACAGCCCGCGATTTCGTACGCGTGGATCCCGTTTTACCCCCTTAGGCCTCAGCCTCGAACTTAGCGGGCAGCGGCGCGGGAGCGGCGGCGGGGCGGGAGCGGCAGGATCTTATGCGTAAAATCAAATAGACCGGTTCTCGAAAACAGCGGCGCGGCAGCGGCGCCAGAGCGGGCAACGAGCGGGCAGCGGCGAGGGAGCGGGCAACGAGCGGGCAGCGCACTCCTTCTTTTGCCCACAATAAATCGAGCGTAAGGAATAAATTGTCGCCGTTGTTCAGACATTTCGTTCGCGAATAAAAACAAATATCTAGACAACACAACCCCGAACACAACACTTCGCCGCTAAAGCGCCGCGCGAGCTGAGGCCTTAGGCCTCAGCCTCGAACTTAGCGGGCAGCGGGACGGGAGCGGCGGCGGCGCTGGAGCGGGGCGGGCAACGCAGACCCGTTCTCGAAACAAGCGGGCAGCTCGCGCAGCGCTTTAGCGGCGAAGTGTTGTGTTCGGGGTTGTGTTGTCGAGATATTTGTTTTTATTCGCAAACGAAATGTCTGAACAACGGCGACAATTTTATTTCGATTCAAATTTATTCCTAACGCTCGATTTATTGTGAGCAAAAGAAGGAGTGCGCTGCCCGCTCGTTGCCCGCTGCCGCCCCGCTGCCGCGCCGCTGTTTTCGAGAACTGGTCTATTTGATTTTACGCATAAGATCCTGCCGCTCCCGAGCCGCCGCCGCCGCCGCCCCGCTGCCCGCTAAGTTCGAGGCTGAGGCCTTAGGGGTGGAGTTTCGTAAAATCCATTCTTGGCGGATGCCTACATCATAACACCTACCTGCATGCCAAATTTCAGCCCGATCCGTCCAGTGGTTTGGGCTGTGCGTTGATAGATCACTATGTCAGTCAGTCAGTCAGTCACGTTATTTAGATAAACTTGACTAATAAATATTTTTCTTTCTATTCCAGGGCCCCATGAAGCGGCTGTCATGCGCATAGCGGCACTGATCGCACTCGTGCAGGTAATTCACAAGTTTTTCCCGCTTTTCCACGCTGTAGCAGGTTCGAATCCCGCTAGTGGCAACAGCAACTACCATGAGCATACCCGGAGTAATGAACAGATTTAGTATCCATATCAGCTGCTATAAATTACATAATATACCTGCTAAGCGACAAATCAACATCCTAATTATGAAGGGAAAGATCCTAATTATGTAATAAACCCTAAAATTACATAAAATAAGTAAACTTCATTGGTCTAATTTAATAACTTTTTCTTCTTATTACAAGCAGACCAATATTTAACCAGTAAGAGAACCATTTCAAATCAAATCATTTATTTGCATTACATGTGTGGTTCCTTCAACTCATGAAGGCGAGTGAGCTTTACTTGTGTGTGTACATAACGATAGTGCAGTGTCTATTAAAACTTTTGAAAAACGAACAGTAGCGAGCCACCACACATGTAAAGCTCACTCGCCTTCGTGAATTATTGCAACAACTATATTTCAAACTATTAAACAAAAAAACAAAATGATTGCTTCGAAACTCTATTTAAACAAAATGGTGCAACCCTCATTATTCAAAACTAACCAAATATGGTAGCAAGTGCCATCGCACTCACGTATTGAACCCGATCGTGAGCAATGATTTATCGTCGATCATCAACGCGCATGCGCCTGCGATTTATGCAGCACGTGATAGGGCTTTCAGTTTGATATATCTTTGTCTTAATGCTATTTTATTGCTGCTATTACTACGAAGATAGTTGAAATCTCTAAAGTTATTTCTTAATAATAAGGCTGTCTTGATAGACAGATCTTACTTTACTATCAAGATAATAGGGATGTTTCCTGGGTCAAAAAGCAAGAGTTTTAATTAGTCCGTCAGTTAACTCTACACGTATTTTTCACTTTTTCAAACTAATGATAATTGAAAGAGATAAAGCGCGCCAAGGTTCATAAGAAGAGGCCCGTGACGTCAATGCGTGCATAAAAGTGCCGCACGTTGTGACGTCGTGCGGAACTTCAACGCACCATAACTATGTAATTATTTGTTAGATTGACAAATAAAAATATATGTGTCCAATATTTTTTTATATTAAACATTACGGACTAAACAATTTTTTTTAGGAAACTAGCCTATTAGTAGAATATCATCATCAAGTCATTTATTAACAGCAAGCAGGTAGCATGAAGGCGCTGGATGCAGGCCGCTACCAATCTATGAGATACTAGCTTTTCCCCGCGGCTTCACCCGCGTGAAATTTCGTTTGTCACATATCGTCATAAATTTATAGCCTATATGTTATTCTGGGGTATAAACAATAATACTGTAAAGTTTCATCAAATTCCGTTCAGTAGTTTTTGCGTGAAAGAGTAACAAACATCCAGACATCCACACAAACTTTCGCATTTATATTATTAGTAAGATAAGATAAGATGAGCGTAGGAGGCCTATGTTCAGCAGTGGACGTCCTATGGCTTTTATGATGATGATTAAGTCATTATTGTCCATGAAGCATGAACTGTTACCTAATAATTTCGTTCGTTCGTTCGTTTCAGCCAAATGACGTCCACTGCTGTTGTCCAGCTCCTCCAAGGTTTTCCACAATGCACGGTCCTGCGCTGCCCGCATCCAGGCTCTTCCCGCGACCCTTACCAGATATTTCTTTACTTTTTAGATATTCCTTTTCAACCCTTTCAAGATTTAGTGAAATATAATCATCAAGTCATTTATTAAAACAGCAAGCAGGTATCAGGAAGGCGCTGGATGCAGGCCGCTACCAACCGGTCATTGTGGAAATCATAGGGGGAGGCCTATGTTCAGCAGTAGACGTCCTATGGCTGAAATGATGATGATGAAGTCATAGCATGGTCTGAAATTAATTTACCAGGTTCAAACTTCCAAAAAGGGCCCGATGTTCTCGTATTTATTTTTACCTTAGTACCCTTTTACAACATCCATGGGTAGAATAGAGTACCCTTCTACTCTCTCTTTCTACCCTCAGTCTGCCTGAAGTACACGGTCAGTCACTTTGGCTTGGTTGCACCATCTTATTTTAACTTTGACTAACGTCAAAAATGCTTCATTTTGGAAATAATGAATTTCTGTCAACTTACCAAACTATTAAAACAGCGCTAGATCGTTTTTAAAGAATGTCTAAATCGCACTAAAGTAAGGTGTACGGATGCAGTATGTTTAAGTTCAACATAGCGAGTGTCATTTAATGCCAAAATCACAAAATCTTATGCATAGTACGTATACATCGATGATATTTTGTATGTAAATAATTCAAAACAAAACTCTTTTTTTATTCTTAACTCCAGGGATAGATTTCAGTGCGCTTCGGTTTACACATTAATATTGGCCTGAGGAACAAAATGCACTATGGGTTGATTGACCCTGGCACTATCCTTTAAAAGTAGTTAACAATTTTTGCACGTTTCTTCCAACGAAAGTAACGAGTAATGTCACGATCGTAGAGATCCCGAGAAAATTGTAGTTTTCATAATGATTTAAAAGTATGAATGTAAAGAAGAAGCAGAATTAAACGCTATTTAAGTAGGTACACATTGTATTCAAGTCCTTCTAAATTATTAACCCTGGGTTTCACGGTTAAAGTTATAGTTAAGTTTTTAGTTAAGGTTGTGCAACTCAGGTTTAGCCACAAAATAGAGATTCTTTTAACAACCTAGAATCTGTGATCGTTGTTAACATTCCATTAATCCAATGGGACCTACATTGCCGACCTTTGTTCATGCTAATAGCCTAGAGCCACGTAACAATGCAGGCGAACTCCAGCCGATATGCTTATAGTACAGTCATGTACAAACATCCATAGAGAATACTGATAAAAACACGAATCCAAATGTACCTACCAACATGATGAAATAAACTCTTATGACTATGACTAATTGACTATAAAACAATATCAGTAAGCTCTAGGGGTAGGTAACTGTAGGAGAATATCATATGGCATTAAGTTCGCCTTTAATTTTGTACTCTGTTCAGTGTGCAAATAAGTTTTAAATAAATACTAAAAACATGATGAAAATACTATTCACTGAAGTCGGAGATGACTTAATGCCCGTTTCCACTATCAATCCCTAATTTTTATGTGATCCCTATGAAAACAAAACTCCTGTATGATGTGAAACGCAAAACGGGCATAACATCTACAACAATGGTTCAATAACAAATGAGTCAATAATGGCAATGGATATATTAATTTTTATGCTGTAATAATGTTCTGATGGCAAAAGGTAAAACAGCGCAACCTTTTTCGCATCGGATTCACGATTCGTAAAAACATTTATTCAGTTCCAAGTCCTCGTTGATTATGTTTAACAATCTAGAAATATTATACGCCATAAAAACTTAATTCTATTACTTATTAAAAATAAACTATTATTTCAAGTGTCAAAATATCAAACTTCATAGAATGGAACCTCAGTGACCATCTATGGTAGCCTGTAAGATGCATTGGCCCATAAAATCGCACAGCCATTATGCACTTGCCTGTACGGGCATGACTTATTGTTGCCATTAAACCCGCCATGTGCTTCTGCCGTGAGAATCATATTGCAAAGTGATAGATAGATGACATACGTGATTTATTGAAAGTACAGTCAACACACCAAACTACACATTTTGTTGCAAAATAACTCTTATTACAATAACATAAAATGTCACAGTGCTTATTGAACTTCTGTTGTCTGTAAAATTTTAATTTGTCGTAAGTTAACCCTACAGTGGTCGCGCGGATTACACCCGTAATCCACTCGTGCAAATTGTTGAATATTTTGAAATCGGTCAACGCGATCGTTTTGATACTTCGTGTACTTTAAGTTGCATAGTCGAAGATCACAATTAATGACGTGTGAGCGCCAGGTCGCTTGAGGATGTGTTGCGGGAGCCCCGTAAATGTCGATGGTCTACCCGTGTAATCCGCGCGACCAATTACGTAAGTATTTTTTAAGTTACCTTTTTTACGTAATGTGTTTGTTTTTGCATTATTTGTGTTAATTATTGCTTTATAATAAATAATTACGGCATAGATATGTATTTACATTTGTGTTTTCAATAACATCATTGTGTTTCAGATAAAATTCATGAACAACAGGCAAAAAGCACAAATTGCAGAATGGCTAGAAGTAATTGACAATGAAAGCGTATCTTCTGGCGACTCTTCGGTTTCTGATGAAGAAGTGCACATTCTTCCACAAGAGAACCAGTTTCTCAGACCAGTGATTAGTCATCTAACTCAGAACCATCACAGCGGAGTTTTTAGGTCGCTACTTTGACTGCGGAAGAAAGCGCAATCAAAGTACTGGTAATACTTGTAATTCGTGCAACAAATTTATTTGTCCTTATCATTCCATGATGGCCTGTATCTACTGTTCAAAATATAATTAATAAATAAGTACAAATAGTACTTAATAATTTACTAAACTGCCAAAGTTGTCATTTTCTTGATGAAAAATGATGATTTTTATGTTTTGGTTAATTTATAAAAACTGAGAAGAACTGCTCATTTCTTTGTTTGATTATTTCATTAACTAATACATGACAATAAATATAAAAAATAAAGAAACATGTTTTTATAAAGAGATGTCTTATTTTTTTACTCCATAAAATGGCTTACGCATGTAATCCGCGCGACCATTAACGTAATATTTTAGAGCGCGACCACCGTAGGGTTAAGTAGGTAACATAAATTCCCGAAAAGAAACGAAATAATCACGAAGATAGCGCGCCTAAATGTGTGCGTTTTCGAATGTTGTTAGATATTCTAAATTCAAATTCAAATAACAGAACTTGGCTGTACCTATATCTTTTATGCCTTTGCGTTCCCCCAAGATAAGTAAAAATTAATGTGTGCGTTTTCGAATGTAGTTAGATGTTCTAAATTCAAATTCTTTTATGCCTTTGCGTTTCCCCAAGATAAGTAAAAAAAGAAAAAACCATACGGCCATGTTTCTTTTCAAAGAGGTTGAATATTATTTTTGACTTTTGAAGT